GAAGGAGGTGTCATTATTCCCCACTGTTGCTATTAATTCTATTTTTAATTTTGAAGTATCTCAGGCATATATAAAAATATAGGGAATAATATATATACCTATTGCTCAGCTTGAGAAACAAAGCATTACAAATACTATCTGTCCTAGTCTGTTCCAGCTGCTATAATAAAATACCATAAACTGAGTGACTTATAAACAACAGAAATTTATTTCTTACAGTTCTGGCGGCTGCGAAGTCGAAAACCACAGAGCTGATCAATTCGGGGTCGGGTGAGGGCCAACTTCCTGGCTCATAGATGCCTTTCTTTTCACTGTAACCTCACATGGTGGAATGGGTGAGGGGGTCCTTCTTGGACCTCTTTTTATAAGGACACTAATCCCATTCTTGAGAGCGGTTTAGTAAATCCCAAAGGTCCTAACTTCTAATACCATCACTTTGGGGGTTAAGATTTCAACATTTGCATTTGGCAGGGGATATAAATATTCAGATCATAGCATTATCATTATCCCCATTTTATAGGTGTGAAGTCTGAAACTGAGAGTGGTTAAATAATTTTGTCAAGGTGACACAGCTAATACATGCCAGAGTTGTGATTTAAATAAAGGCCTTTCTGTCTCCAGGGCCCATGTTCTTAACTACACCTAGTTGGAAATACAGTATGTGGTGTCGGAAGAGAATTCAGGACTAGAAATATTGACCTGGGAATTATCTGCATCAAAGTGACATTTGAAGCGATGGGAGTAGATAGGGAATAAGAAACAGTAAGTGGCCTGAGGACATAGACTTAGGCTTGAGCAGTGTGCCTTCCTGGTTGGAGAACAGAGTATAGGAGAAAAAAAGCCCTGTCTGTTCCCAGAGCAGGTGCTCTTTTTAGGCTGTCCTAGAGTTTCCTTCCTGGTTCCTAAAAAAAGGGCAGAGGTGTTCGCAAGCCTAGTGCTTTTTTTCTATATCTTTGGCATAGGGTGAAGCCAAAGAAGCCACTGATACCCTTGCATCATCAAGTTCATAGAAATCCTGAAGGTGAGGGTGCTATTTTTTTTTTCAGCTGGGCAGAACCCCAAATGCAGCTCTAATGCCTATCACACTGGTTAACTAATATATTTCTAGCAGAGGCTAGGCTTGTTCAGAGATGTGTGGCCTCCTCTACACATAACATGGACCACTTGGGTTTAATAGTGCTGAACAGGATTTTATTGAGTTTGTAATCACTAGCAATACCACCTCCTGAGGGAATATTTCTTGGCTTCACTGCCAAATCAGAAGTTTGAGTTGCCTCAGGAGAAATATAAGTATCCCGGAAAAAGTCTTCCAAGTGCTTGAGACGTATCCAAATTTCCTCAGGCCACTGAAGATCACAGGATTTTGGGAAAGTTCCCAGTTAATATCAAGTTTTTACTTAAAAATTCCTCTAGCAATATTACTTGCAACTGGAATATCTATGTGATAAAAATTTCCTAAGAAGATGTTCTCTAGAAGGTGTTTGGTAATGTACAACAAAGTAGTTCAGGTCTTGTATATGGGAAGGATCCTTAGAGCTCTTTAAAGACATTATCAACCCCCTTAAAAACAAAGAAACACACACAAAAAAACAGAAACACAAAGGTAGAGACAGTGCATTATTTTGACTCTCAAATTTCCCTTCTCTATGAAGTCAGTATAGGTGAGGCTAGGCCTGAATAATGAATTAACCTTTAAATCTCAGTGGCTTCATGCAATAGCAACAACTCTTTTCACTCACAAAAAAATCTGCTGTGGCTGTCCAGAGTGGATCTTCCAATAATGACTCAGGGATACAGTCTATTTCAGTCTTGTCTCATTTCATTCTAATGCTGGATAGTTTTGGACCACAGTCACTTCATATATTGAGAGGAAATTCATTATCACCATTTTCTCTTAAATCTCAACATGTGACTTCCAGATCATCAACATAAGGGAAGACAGAGCTGAGGGGCCACACTGGGGCTTTGTAGGGGTTTGGTCCAGAAGTGACACAAGCCACTTCTTACAGACCATTGGCTGGAAGTAGTCATGTGGCCCTACCCAACAGCAAGGGGGTTGAAGAGTATAGTCTCCCATGTGCCCCAGACAGACAGAAGAATTAAATATTGATGTGCACAATAAAATCTACCATTCAACAAAAGTGAAAATCACTGAAATATGAAACCAGATTATAAAATGAGGACTACCAAGATGTGCCTTAGCAAGGGAAGAAGTAGTTTGGTAGTAACTAGGTCTTAAGTCTATTGTCTGGTACTTTGCTTTGATGATCAAAATAGTTTTGTTGAAATATACTTATTTTTCCATCCAGGATTCATAAATACTGGAGAAAAATAGCTGTTTTCAAACCTGTTGGGCATAGGTTGAATCAGTGTAAATCTGGGTGTAGATTCATCTGTCAATTACACAGAGTTGGAAGAATGAGCTTTTTTCTCCCCTTTTCACTTCTTGGCCTAGGCCACATGGAGAGATTTCTGCTCTGTGATGACTCAGAGGTGCAATACTCATCCGAATTGCCCGTATCAGATACATAAGATATCAAGCTTTAAAAACTAAGTATATGATCCCAGGTCTATTCATTAATCTTTTTCTAACTAATAGGGAAAATGCAGGAAGAAGGACAGTCTTCTTGAGGCTCCCTTTGGCATGTTCAAATGCTCTGTCACGATTTCACTTGGTCTACCTTTCATTTCCTTGGTGTTAACCATATCACAATCATAGAATTTCGTATCCTTCTCATCTGGGTCTCTCTTCAATCTCCCAGCATCTACCATGATACCTGGAGTATGAGCAATAGTTAAATAACAGCACTATTTCTTGAGTAAATCAATGGCTAGTTTTGCTTTCCCCTCTATTTAGTCAGCCATTCAACAATATACTCTTGGTTTCTATATCTTACTGCCCTCCAATTCTTGCTGCTTTTTTCAGTCTCTTCTGCTCTGCTGGGTGTGGATAGGGGAAGCAGCAAAGCTTGGGGGATATATGGCAGTGTAAAGTACCAGAAAGTTCAATGTGGCTGTTAGGGGTCAATACAGTTTGTGATTTAATAACCTTGATAGTGATGGGGGCTGGAGGACAAGTTGAGAAGGATTTCTCAGAGAACGGTTAGATCAAATGAAAATACTTGTTTACAGAATTTTCTTTCCCATTAGTTTTTGCTTGTTCTATGTTAATAATCTGAGTCTAATTCTTGACTCATTTTAATCTAATGCTGATTTTATAACTAGGATTAATGAAAAATGTATTTTTAAATAATCTCTGAATTTTTCTTAGCATTAGGCTACTTAGGTTGTTCAACTTACATCTCATCACCTACCAGTGTTTTTTGCTTTTTAAACCTATGCTGATAAGCAACAGATCAGAAATACTTGTATGCAAAAATTACTCACCAAGTAGACTCTTGATTAGCCCACCAGCAGAGGGATAGAAGAGCCCTGAAAGCACATAATTCCAAGATCATTATCTCATTTAGAATGTTTTTCCCAAAAGTGGATATGGAATTCTTAGTATTGACAGAATTTGGAGATGAAAGCTACCTCTGAGATCATTTAGGCAGGTGAATTTTTCGTTTTATAAATGAGGGGACTGAGGCCAGTGTGCTTAGTTGGTATCAGAATGCTCCTGACTCTATTCCCTGTATTCTTTAGTAACAAAGAAATTATACCCCAGGTCATTCTTGTCATATGCAAACAGCAGCTTATCTACTTGTTCTAATTGCCTCCCTAAGTGGTAGGGGGATGAAATGGTAGATGTGTGAAGGGGATCTGGAAAATTTAAAATAAAGTCAACACTGTACTGATTAAATAAACATTTATTTGGAAGGCTGCAATGTGCCTACCAGGCATTGGACATATAGAGATAAAAAAAAGTTACTATGGTCAAAGAATTCACAATCCAATTGGAAAGGTGAGTAAGAGCAAGGAAAAAATTGGGCAGATAGTATTCCAAGAACTAAGTGCAGTTCTGTAAAATCTGTAATGGTGGAGCCTTGTACACTTAGTACTGCAAGAAAGAAAGGTAAAGGGATTTCTTCTCTTTGGCTTTTCCCAATGGCTTACTACTAAATGGCAACAACTGGAGAAAAGCTATCTCAGAATGGTTGCTTTGTATCTCTATCTTCCAGTTCACTTAGAGCTAAGATGGCAAATGAGCACCCAACGCGGTGCCAAGGGAAATGTGTCTCTTCCAACAGGGCAGTCGCAGGTTGATGAGAGATGCCTGAGTTAACAGCGCACTTGTCAGGGCACTAGCACTGTCGCTGTTTCCCCACCTCCCCATCCACACCGCTATGCCAGCTGCCCTTGGGCTGAAATATGCAGCGAACTCACTAGGCCATCCCGAAGTCCCACCTGTCCTGGGACGCCCTGGAGAGGTGCTCGTGTCCCCCATCTTTCCTCAAGAGGCCACACCCAACCCAAGGCCCTCATTGTGTCTTGGGGAGCGGCAGCCCCACGCTCCTGCTCCGGCTGGCCTTCTTAAGAGGAAGCGAGCGGCCCGGGCTGGGCGACCCCGGCCGGGATACCCGTGTGGCGGATACAGGCCACACAGGTGGGAGCGGGCAGGGCGGCGCTCTCTAGCGCCGCGCGTGCGCCCCGGGCCCCGCACGTCGGGCGCGGCCGCACCTGGAGGCGGAGCCA